ATGGTTTCCTTTGATGATTGGACGCACTCAAACATGGCGTGGACAGCAATCATGTTGAGAGTTGCTCATGATTGGATATTGGATCCACCTGAATATTGGCATGGCACGCTTGAAGTGAACTGTACATATATAGACAGTATTGTCGTCCCACTGCTATTGACAAATATTGTATGGACCACGTGGATGGCGTTGTGTCGCGAGGTTTGAAACCAGGTCGGTCAGATTCGGAACTCCGAAGAACGAAGCGTGTCGGCGTGTTTTTCATCGAAGTCCTGAACTCGGTGGCCTGGCTCGTTAGAGGATGATACAATTGTGTCTATAGCGTTAGAGGATGATAGAGGATTTGTTCTTTAACAAAGAACAAGAACAAGAACAAAAACAAGAACAAGAACAAGAACAAGAACAACAACAACAACAACAACAGCAACAGCAACAGCAACAGCAACAGCAACAGCAACAACACCAACACCAACACCAACACCAACACACACGATTTTATTTGTTAAGTTCGTAGCGATGGTCTCCACCTAATAGCGTCCTTGTTACTAGGTATGTGGAGCTACTAAACGGGATCATTCCGTCTTTCCCTTCCCTGACGATCCATGACCACACATAGGTCACAAATAGAAATGATCTCAGGATATGCATACGTCTCTATTGATCGTGTTATTTGAAGACGTTGTCGAATCACACATAGGGGTACCTGAAATGTATATACAATTCCAGTATCATTGTCGGATAAGACCATGAAATCCCAAGAACCAAGCATACCAGGGCGTGACGAACCGTGACAGACCGTGATTGGTCTATTTTTTCCCTTTAAACATGAGGTCATTGTCGGACTCCAGCGTGACAACCCGTGACGGGCCGTGATTTGGGATCGTTGGTTTTGTGGTTTTTGGGTTCTGGTATGATCTCGTTTTTTGAGGTCGGACCTCACAGGGTGAGGTCGGAGAGCCCCAGAAGACACAACCCCAAATGTTAGCATATAGAGCTAACTTTCGATCCTCAGGGCTTGAAAGTATGCAAATCTGGGGGCCTGCAGCTAAGATCCTACTATACAAGTTAATATATGCCAGGAGCATCCAAGGATGTCCAATGGCATACCTTACACCACACAGCGACAGCCATTGATCACCCCTGGGATGGTCCTTTTAACCTCTTTTGCCGGTGCACTTCAGAATCAACTGCTTAACACTCACCTCAGAATCAGCTTTCCTGCTAAACACCACCACCCAACATGGTGCTTCCAAGCCACAGCCAGGCCATGAAGGTCCCTCATGTGGTGCTTCCAGCTTTGCTGATCCCTGAAGGCACCAGGCGCCATGCGAATCATCAGAATTTGTGTAGATCGGAATCCTCCAGAACGTGGTCAAACATATGCATGAAATAAGTCAAACGATCAACGATCCGATTCAGATCGGAAAAGAACAACACAAAACACACACAATGAAACACAAACAACAAAAACAACCAAACACGTTATTTAACATATCTACCCAGTGCTAGGCCCTGGGCTTGTTACCTGATTCCTCCCTCAAAATCATTCGGCCTCATTTTAGCTGGCGCTTCAGTCCCAAAGATTCTTGGCGCTACTGAATCACCCATCCATGGAGAACAGTGAACACAGTCTATCCGGATATGCCAATGGTGAACCCTGGGTACACCCCATTTCCAGTACCAATGGATGATGATTATTGTTAGGTTGCAGGCCAACATCCCAAGAATAGTGATAAATCTTGTAACAAAAATGCGTCTTCTTCTCGCGGCCTCTGTTTTGGAGGACGGAATCTGACCCCAGTTAACATGAACGTCAGGCCTGCTGTTTCGTGGCCTCATGACCCCTGTTTTGGGGGTCGCATTCCGTCCCCCGACTGTGACTGGATTACTGGGCCACACCGTAGGTCAGTCCACTTGACCATCCAAAATCCCACGGGAACAATATGAGTCAATGGTTGGGACTCGTGGACATAGTAGATAATGTAGATGCTTGAGTAAATTGAGCCATTCACTTGTTCGACTAGGAACAAAAAGCTAGTACTAGGGTGGAGGCCATCGCTATTAGGTTGGAGGCCATTACTACTAGAAACAAGAAGCTAGTAGGTAGGAG